TTTTTTGGAACTCATTATCGCATTCTCACTTTCAAAAGTATGGTACTTCTTGTTAATTTTAAAAACATTAAACGCGTTTTTCGGCAGCACTATAATCATTAGAGCTAGAGATCATTGTTCCAGTTGCCAATTTCATTACAAATGGTATACTTCTTATTTCGTTCAGTAAAAATAATTTGAAATGAGGGCGCTGGTTTCCACATCGTCACCATTTAGTTGAGGTTTATATTGAAGTTTTACAACATTCCACAGACACGGGTATTTTTTTAGACGTTTTGTTTTCATGAGACAATACTTTTGTGACAGCTGTTACTTTAATTTATAACCAATATATATAATCGCAGAGCAGAGTCAGCAATTTGGGGATCGACTGCGCGAATTTCGTGAATAGCCCAAAACGAGATGGCCACCGATCTCGATTTTCAGAAGAAAAGTTTTTTCAGCGATGAAGCTTAATTTTGGTTGAATGGAAAAGTTAATTAACAAAATTGTTGCATTTGGAGTGATGGTAATCCACAAGACATTGTTGAGACGCCGTTTCATCCTCAAAAAGTCACTTTTTGGTGTGCTCTGTGCGCAAAGGGAATTATTGGTACATAATTCTTCAAAAATTAAGCCGGCCACAATGTTACAGACAATGAGGAACGCTATAGAGACATGGTTATTGACTTTTTCGTGCCTGAATTGAGGAATGTTAATGTGGACGACCTTTGGTTCATAGCCTGGCATAGCCGCAAAGATCGTGCGATTTAACACCGCTGAACTACTTTTTGTGCGGTTATGAGTAGTCGCTTGTCTACGCAGATAAGCCCGAGAGGATTGGTACCTTGGAAGAGAATATTCGGCGCGTTATTGCCAACATGATAAATAATTATATGAGGTTTATTTCTACTTGAAAACCACATGTTTAAAGACACCCTTTAGAGTAATTCTGTCTAAGAATGTTTTTTCATAGAAACTGCGAATATTCCCACCCACAGCGATTGCATTAACTGCAGGTTACTTGCAGAGGAAAAAGCACTCGCTCGCAGTCAAATATGTTCTATAATATCTTTTCAATCAGCTAATAATATCTTATTTGATATTTGTATTTTTGTATCAGTGACACTTTCGTGCCCCTCACCTTACTGAATTTGTAAGCACAATGTAATGAATAACAACAAAAAAAAAATTATATTAGACGTAGACCTTCCAGACACTCAACAATTTCGGTAATTTAGCAAACAATGCGATTACTTGCTGAACTTCACTACCACCTGCCCTTCCAAAGAACCCTCTCGCCTGGGGAGAAAAAACTTTTCGGTCATTTCGTAAATTAGTGCGCAATTTCGCAAATTGTTTTGAGATATTAGCTGTTACTAGTTGTTTGACAACTTCGATGTGCTCTAAGCTATAAATATGTTGCATGCCACACGCATAAATACGCCGAAAGTACATCAATACAATTGTGTTTGTGTCGAAGTTTGACTGACGTTCGTTGCTCGAATTGACGTTGACGCGTTGCCTTGCCACGCCCTTAAGCGTTTGTGTGTTTGCACTATGCATGTCTGTGTCTTTGCGTGGGTGCAAGTGTCAGCAAACAAACATTTCAATTTTACGACCACTACCGACGCAGCCAACGCTCAGCATGTCAGCAAGCAAGCGCATAAATATAAAATTAATGATAATGGCGCAATTGTATGACAAATCCTGTCGCCAGGACAATTCACTTACCAAGTGGCAGGAGCAACAATAGCCTACGAGAGTAGCGGGGTTTTGAGGGTAGAGAGCGCTGTTGATGATTGCGCGTAAAATCACTTCGTCCATAAAGTGGAGTGGAGTGGAGGGGAGTGAAGTGGGGGAGCAGGCGAAAGCGCTGCATAAACAACAGTCGATACTGAAAATGTTTACAACATCATAAAGTATAAGTGCGAAAGTCAATAAACGCAGAGAGTACAGTATGCAAACACATAAATTCAAAATATAATTATAGCGAAGTGAAAAATGAATGTAAAAGTTTAGGGTCATATTTTAATTGCCTTGTTTAAATGTAAAATGCAGCAAATCAACATTGCAATGAAACACGAAGTCATTGTGAGGACCATGAAAATTTAGAAAATCTTATTGCATTCTAAACAAGCTCGTTGTGGAGTGCTGGCTAAACGTCATGGATATTATCATTCACATATTTTTTTCTATTTTTTTGAGTTTTAACAAATTAAAAGAATGTTTAGTGAAAGTGAGTGGCTGTTAGACTAGGCTTAGCGAATGAGTGTCTTTTATGAAGTTGAGTGAATGATTTTTTGAGGTTTTGAGTGTTGTGTTTATTATGGAAAGGTTAAACTAAAATTTTAAGAAAACGTTTTTTACGCAAAGTCTCTCTTTTATAAATTTTTTATAAATTAAATTCAAGAAATAAATTTTCGTTACCAAAAGTGTATAACCAGAGAATCGATATAGATATATAAACTGACCTTAAGGTTGAATTTTTTAATTAAATAAATATATCTGCTTTGTTGTTGTTGAAGTGTCCTTAAATATACCCAAGATATACCCAATACCAAGAGTGTAATAAACTATTATCCGAATATTTCAAAAAAATTTTCCGTGCGGGTTACTTAAATCCAATTGTCTTGAGAACGGTATTTACCTATCCGCACCTTTATTTTAATCCGTCACATTTCTTTAAAAATCCCAAAAATCAATTGCAGTGCTTTGTGGAGATCACTCTATGATGGTGGTTAAAATATGCTATCACCAAAAAATACTCACTCGTTCATTAGATTTTTAATGTTTGGTCTCCAAAAATCTTCCTGACTCTGAATATAGGGTTTGTGGGTCTTAAGAGTGGTTGAAATAATACATGGCTTTTATATGGTCTCATACTGAAAGTCTCTCTTATCTTATTTTAAAATTTTTTAGTCCTTTATTGTTATTTTGAATGCTGAACTGATAATTTAGATGAAAACATTTTCAAATTTAAATACAATAATTTTACAACAATATGATCAAAAAACAAGATAAAGCTTTTCTTATACAACTATGATATGAATGGTAGCTAGAAGTCATAGAGCTGTAATCTGAACATTATGTTTGGAAAATATAGCAATGCTTTTCATAATATTTCATGAAGATATCTTGTCGACTATAAAAAATTTCCTAAAAGAACTTGATTTTGGTGATAGTAGTCCGATATCGGTGGTTCCGACAAATGAGCAGCTTCTTGGAGAGAAAGAAAAAAGACGAGTACGAAATTTCAGTTCCATATCTCAAAAACTAAGAGACTAGAACGCGCATATCTACAAGGTGCGTTCCAAAGTAAACAGTAACAAAGTAAATTCTAGTGGCGCCATCTATATGTCGATTAGTGCGTTAGAATCTGCTATCCTTTATCGACTTCCAGTAAAAATTTCATGACATTTCATCTATTGGAAGTGAAGTTATTGCGTTTTAAGTGGCACTATGTTTTTGTCATCGGTGCGAAAATAAGCTTCGAACAAAGAGCCAACATTAAATTTTGTTTTAAAATTGGTAAAACTTTTACCGAAACATTTCAATTGATGAAACAAGTTTATGGCGATGATTGCCTATCCCGTAGCAGAGTGCACGAGTGATTTCAACGTTTTCAAAGTGGTCGTGAGGACATAAATGACGATGAACATGTGGGCCAACCAAAATCTGTGATCACCGAAAATTCCATCGAAACTGTGCGTGAATTCATAAAAAATCAGCCGAAGTCATCATGAAATTCATGGAAATAGAATTGAATATCTCCAAAATATCGATTTATCGCATTTTGACCGAACATTTGGGCTTACAAAAGGTGTCCAAAGGGCCAAAACGTTAATGTGGTATTCTACCTTGGAGTTTTGAAGCGTTTGGTGCGCCGTATTCGACGTGTTCGGCCCGAATATCGCGAAGATGGAAGTTGGCGATTGTTGTACGATAATGCGGCGTCTCATCGATCGACGCCTGTGGCCGATTATTTGACCAAAAATCAAATTTTAACAAACAACCACTCCCCGTATTCACCTGATATGGCACCGTGCGACTTCTACCCTTTCGGAAAACTACATTTGGCCATGAAAGGAAACCGCTATGCTGACGTGGAGGCAAATCCAAAGGCTTGGAATGGCATACTGGCGGCCATACCGGGCAACGAGCTAAAACACTCGTTCGACATGCTTTTGGACTGTGCAAAAAGCTGTATAAAAGCAGAAGGAGACTATTTTAAATAAAATTAATTGATTTTGCCGATAAAACCATATGTTCTGTCATTTTTTTAAAAGTCCTGTTTACTTTGGAAAGCACCTTGTATGTGTTTATTTTTATTTTATGAAAGTTGCCAACTCTTTTTTTATATATATATTTAAAGTAAGGACATCGTTGATCTGATACCTAGAGTGTACAATTGAATTTCTAGTATTGTTTAAAAGAGCAGATTTAAGGTACTCAGAAAACCCTTTTACTACAGACCTATATATACCATATGAATCTGTTGATGATCTGATATATAGTATAGCGATAAAGATATTTTAACGTATAACAATGCAAAACTCTGGAAAAGCTTTAAGAAACTACTAAGATAGCTAAGTAATCATGATGTTCTCCGTTTGAGAAAAAGGACAAGAAGTGGAGCAGAATGGAAAAATGTTGTATTTTACTGATATATTATTGGTTTTGTGTACTTATCCTAAACTGGTTTAAAAAGTATCTTCATATGGCCTTGTGTGCAACAAATGTTAGATTCTTCTTAAGAATTCTTGGCCACTCCTTGCTTTTAATTTGACTTCGACACGATTTATAAATAAATGCATGTTTTACTCACCTTTCACTCATGCAGTAAGGAGATAAGTCCGAATCCTTTTTATGTTTTCATTTTGTACGTAATAATATTCTTGTTTGGACCAGAGTATCACTTCAACCAACCATTTATTCACACCAAAAGTCATTAAGTTGAAATAGCAGAACATAAACTCCAAGTAAAAAAGCATATCTAACGGTTTGTCTATCTCTTACAGTTGCTTGACGCAGTTCAAATTGTTAATTGGCTTTGAGTAACGTAGGCGTGCACTCCTTTGAAGCTGGAAAAGAAGGTGAGAATACAATTGAACATTTACAACAAACAATTTTAAGTAAACATTCATATTAGGGTCCCGAAATGCACATCTATTTATATACTAGTAAACAAGCTACTTAAATACAAGCGAAAGTATATTCGGTTCCTCGAAATATTTGTTTACAGAGATAAAATTGGAAGCAATAGCAAATGAGAGACAAAACAGGAAACATTAATAAAAAAAAAATATTAAAAATTTATTAGAAAAAAATTTAAAAAAAATATTTAAAAATAAAACAAAAAATGGCTTCAATAAAAATAATACGAACTGTTGAAAACGTCAACAAACAAGTGACGTGAAATGGAAAATAAACAGACAATATTTACTTGTTTTATTCTCTCTCACCGAAAAATACAGCAATTGAATGCTGAAAGTACCATTTTAATGGGTGCAAGCGCCTTTTAATAGCGATATTTATTGCAACGGTAATTATTGACATAGCCGAGTTGATGTTTACCTATTGGGCAATGATGTCATTATTTACCTCAAAAAATATTGAATGAAAAGCAAAAACCGAGCAGATGTTCCCAAAAACAACACATTTGTACCGATGTACTATAGATACTACAAATGCAACACTGTTACTGTCAAAAGACATTTTGTAGTGCTCGTGTAAGTTCGGCTGCAGTCGAAAATCATTTATTGTATATTTGGAGGTTCGAGGAACACATGAACCGATTTCATTAATTTTTAGACTAAACCATATCACAACTCAATTATTGTTTTCTCTAAATGCCGATAAAAGATCTCACATACTCGCATTGTGAACGCTATATCTGCACAAAGTAAAAGTTGTTAGAAAAACGAAAATCATTATATGCAGTATATGGGAGTTGGGGGTAGTATTGACACGATTTTATCTATTTAATATTTTATCATATCAACAACATGCCATTGTATTTAAAAAGATACACTGTTGTTAGCAAAACACGCTCTCTTTTTTCCATTGAGATACCTTACATATCGACCGATATATGCGATATAAAGTCACCCGGAAGTTCGAAAATTTTTATATTATATACAAGTATATGGGGGCTAAGGGATGTATTGACCCGATTCAACCCATTTATCAGCAAAGGATTTTCTCTGCATTTCAATTATATATCTCACACATTGACCGATATTTTCGGTAAAAAGTCAACTATAGGCACTGGGGTTCACATATTTGGTACCTAGAGGCTTGAACAGTTTTGGTTTGGATTTGAACAATTTTTGGTCATACTTTAAGAGCATTATTCGTGCAAAGTTTTATACCGATATAATAATGTTTTCTTAAGAAAGTGAGAGAATCAAACGGAATTTAAAATTGTGGGGTTATATGGGAAGAGGCGTGGTTGTAGTCCAATTTTTAGTTTTAATCAAAACAGTGGGGAGTAGGCGGGCTTATCACCCGATTTCATCCAATTTCACACTGTCGATAGGGGTGATAGAAATTCTTATCTTAAGTGAATTTGATTATTATAGCTTCAGGGGTTTAGCAGGTATGTACATTAAACATATAAGAGGGCGGGACCACGCTCACCTTTTCTTCTTATACCAAATTACAGTCTTGTAATTAATTGGTTTTTGATTAATGGCTTTTTGTGGGCGTGGCAGTTGACCGATTACGCCCATCCACAATACCAACAGTCACAATGAGTCAAATTAGGAGTCGAGCGAGTTCAAGTTAAGAATTAAGAGAGGACAAGCTAGGAATCAAGGGAGATCGAGCTATTGGTTGATGAACTTGTACTACTTTAGAGAATGAGCAACGATCTTTGCTATGCTTTAAGATTTGATGAGAAAATATCATCAAGTTTGAATTGTGCGTTGAGTAGGTCATAACTGATCAACGGTTTAAGGTCCTTGATGTTGCTTTTGTATTTGTAATATGATAATTGAAATTTCAATATGTATATACATACAATACATATATTAAACCAAAGGATAACCATTTGCTGGACTAATTACAAAGGCGTGCAATCTAAAATATTTACATTTCGAATACATGTATGAATGCATGTGTATCTATAAATTTACATCTTATACCCTAAGTATACACACATACATTTAGCGCTAAGAAAGTTTCTAATATTTTTCTAAACCTATCCAATCGCCACTGGGAAATTCATTTTATTTTGATGCCAATGAAATCTTTATTTATTTGCTCTTTTGGCGGTCGCATTGTTTTCCTTGGTTTGTAACGAGTTAATTTGCAGAGCAGTGCTGAAATATTTGTTGCATTTGTTTGGATTAATCTGATTAATGCGCCAGCTGATATACTGACAAAATGTTTATCGGATAAACAGTGGAACATTTCGATGAAGTAATTACATTAGGGTGAGACTAATATAATTGAAGAAAGTGGAATATGGAATTTAGGAGAGAAATTTCTGCGCTAAAATATGTTTTGTAAGAATTAATTCTCAAAAATCGACATTCGTCGATACTAAATAATATTTACTTAGTTAGCTCCACATTTTCAGCTAGAGTAATCGGAAGTATGATCGCTAATAAACAAAGTATGATAATCGCCAAAGCAAGAAAAGGTTAGCTGCTTATTCTTTATGAAAAACTGAAATACTTATCTCTTTTTAACTCTCTTAATAAACTTTACTTATATCTATACTTATTCCTTTAGAATCAACCCTAATAATATTGTTAATATTGGGAAATATTTATGTACATGTCTATTAGAAAAGAATTCTTCAAATGAATGACCTGCGCTAACTGTATACAAATACCTTAAAAGTTATTTATATTATAAATTTTCCAATCACGTTGAACTCTCTTTTCGTATTTACACATGTTCGTTAAGAAGATTTATTTTATTTTCTCTGTAATATATTATTTTTGATTAAAAAATCGAAAAAACATATTTTTGAAAACGAAACAAGAAAACACGTTGACTTGGGTGCACCGAAGCTATAATACCCTTCACAAAAACAAAATATTCCTAACAGAAATTGATTTTGATCGTTCAGTTTGTATGGCATGAATATGCTATAGTAGTCTGATCTGAACAACTTCTTCGGAGTTTATACCCTTACATTGAGCAATAATTCATGTTAAGTTTTATGAAGATAGGTATCTTGTCAGATGAAAAAGCTTTCCATGCAAGCACTTAATTCCGATCGTTCAGTTGGTATGACAGCTATATGCTATAGTGGTTTGAAATCAACGGTTTCGAAAAATTGAGCTTCTTGGAGAGAAAAGCACGTGTGCAAAATTTCGTTTAGATATCTCAAAAAATGAGCGACTTGTTCGCGTTTAATTCCGATATTTTTTTTCTAAATTTAACACTTATTGAATATTTCAACTTTCATAGAGGTATCTAAAGAGATAAGAATTATGATTATATAAAAGACACCAAGTGGTAGTCACGTAATATAATGTAGAAGAACAATCGAATGAATTACTACGACTTGAAAACTCTGTTTATAGAAATACTTTAGCAGCTTCTTGTAAAGTAAAATGTTTTTGCCATTTTTGTGTAGCTATCTTGTAGTGTTCATTTAAATTAATTTAGGATAGGTTAGAGGTTTATTCTTACAATGAAGTTCTACTGACTCATAAGCCGCTTTATAACTATTTTGACGGAGAATTAAATGCTTTTCCTCTTCATAACGATTTCAGGTGGTTTTTGAAAAAAAAATCTGGTGCACAAGTTTTAACGATCACTCGGACTTACGTGTCTTAACAAATTTAAACTAAATTCACTTAAACCGAAAATCATAGCAAATGATCAACATGTTCGTTTTTATTTTTGGTAAATTTGGTAATTTCGTAAGTGTGGCAACCCTGTTCCAAAATTTGTATATTAGCCAGTTTTATTTTGCAGAGCTTATTCAAAAAAATATTATTTAAATACAGGTGGCAGCTCTGTAACACAATTTTTTGGGCACACAGTAGCTTTTTTAGGATATCAATACTTATAACTTTAAAAACAAATTTTTTTTGGAATTAGGTGGCAACCACCTGACATAAAACTTTTGTGCATAAATTTCTTTTCTTCGCTTGACAGATTATGAATTTGAATTTATTTAACTTTTCCCATTGCATTTTCGAACAACCACAAAATTTAATGTTTTTAAAATTAGATGGCAACACCCTAACATAAAAATTCTGTGCATAAATCGCTTTTATTTGCTTGAGCCAATATGAACTTGTATTTCTCTAACTTTTTCCATTGCATTTAGAGCGAACAATGCCAAATTTTTTTGTATTGGAAAAAATAAACCTCAATATCACCGAATTATACATATGTGCATATATACATAATATATGAATTTTATTCCATTTAAACTTTAAAAATAAAACGCTTACTTATTATCACTTTACTTATCTCATGCAAATTGCGAATCCCCCATAAGAAACCACAAAATTAGCCAACGACAGCCGTTTAGTGGCAATTCAAGATAACTTTCTTGTGGAAATTTGCGCTAAGAAATAGAAATAAAAAACTGAAGTTTTCGAAAGTTTTCAGCTTTGAACTCTGAACTTTTTCCATCGTGCAGCCGCAACAAAAACAAAAAAGTACTACTACCAACAACTTGTAAATGGAAACTCAGCATGAAATTCGGTTGAGTTGAGTTGAGTGGAACAGACAACTTGCCGCAATAGTTCGTCACAGTAGTTCGCCGGTGCAGGTTAGTGTTTGCGTATGTGCAGGTTAGGACTTTCGGTAAAAGTACGCCGAAGCCAAGTCGCCGGGTCATGTATAACACAAACAAATACAAGCATGCATGTTGAGCTATGATAAATGGTTGCAGCTGGCTATGATATTTATAGGTGAACACAAGAGCCCAAAAGTGCATACACACCGTTGGAATTGCAAATATGTGAATGTGTGTGTGCTAGTGCGTATCCTTTGCCTTGAAAATGCATTGGTCACTTTACAGTGGTTGCACCGAACATTCTAATTTCACTGAAGAATACACAAAAATTGTTGAAAATTTTGCACAAAGCCGGATAAATACAAAGAGTGAGAGAAAGCT